ACAAACAAACAAACACACACACACACAAACAAAAACACACACACACACACACACACCGTCCTCGATGGATTTGACGTGTCCGTGATCATGCTTGGCCGATTAAGTCAAGCCGAACCTCCCCGTACGTAAACAGGCACCCCGCCGCCGCCCGCCCACCGCCGCTCACGCCCAAAGACTCACATTCAGCATGCGAATTCCGATTCACCACGAAAGCCAACAACGTTGGAAATGCCCTGCTGCTGTCTCGACCTACAACCGCTGAGCAATGGAGCATTCGTGGGAACATTCAAACGGCGGCCGTGGAGGGCCCGTTCCGAGAGTCTTGGCTTTAAGTGTCCACGAAAAGTACACCTTGCACAGTGTGATGATGTTCACTGTCTATAGGCTGACCCCTGACTTTGTTGCCACATGTTTAGAACCACTTGAAGCGATATCAGGTGTACAAATGCACAACAAGCATAGCAGAAGCAGCAGCGGCAGCAGCAATAGAAACCGCCCAGCGTCATCACCACCTCCGATCGTCTTGTCCTTAGCGACTTGGAATGCCCAGGCTTTTAACCGGAGCGAAACAAAGAGTTACAACTGCGAAGCCTGTAACTATATATGTCGTCACTCTACTGGCTTCTCTTCTGTAGGGACACAGAGGACTCTCCCATCTTTATGCGATGGTAAGACGAGTTTCGCTTGGCATCTGGCATGCCATGCTCGAGGCAGAAGAGCTCCCAGCACGCATTTCCGATCTGCACACCACCCTGCGCAGCGCGACACAAGATCCTCCTGTTCTACCCTGGCAACCCAAAACCATCACTACGTTTTACCCAACTGTCCGGCCTGGCCGATGTGAATGCAGATAGCCTCACGCATGACTTCGAAGAAGGAGTCGCGAAAGTCTCGGGGGTATCGAAGGAATCGAAGGCACCGATGGAAGGCGTCCTCAACCACCGCGTGATGTAGTGGCCTCAGTCACCTATCCTTTGGGCCAAAATGGCGGCCGGGAATCCGCGCATAAGTGAGGCAGCCGTGCACTGCAAGCACACCCACGCGAGGCCGAGGGAGGCAGAATTTGATCGTTAGGCTGAGGGCCATCGACATGCATCCTAAACCCTAAACCCTAAACCCCCTAAACCCCCTAAACCCCCTAAACCCCCTAAACCCCCTAAACCCCCTAAACCCCCTAAACCCCCTAAACCCCCTAAACCCCCTAAACCCTAAACCCCAAAAAAAAAAAAAAAAAAAAAAACCTAAACCATGGTACATGCTACACATCTCATTCCGCGTCCAAGGGACAACTGATATGAACTCTTCTGGACATAGGCATGATCGGCTTCGGAAGCCCTACATCCTCAGGTTTAGTGACTGAGGGGTTCAGGGCTTGGGGCTCCAAAGAGGGCCTCTCTTGTTTACGGAGAGAGAGAGAGAGAGAGAGAGAGAGAGAGAGAGAGAGAGAGAGAGGGAGAGAGAGCGAGAGAGAGAGAGCGAGAGAGAGAGGAAGAAGAACATCCCGGCCTCCAGATTGGCACCGCCCCTGGCGAGCTCGTCATGTGGGCTTGAGTGGTGACAGGCAAACTTTCATCATCATCTCAACCCGAAACTCTAGTTCAAAAGACCTTCAGCTCACGCAGGGCTTTCAGTCAAGCCCTGCAAGCAACCCAAAACAACAATCTCTCAAGAATCCGGGCTTAGGGTTTAGGGTGAGGGTCCAAGTACCCTGGTTTAGGGCCTTGGGTTTAGGGATTTTGCCGGACAACCAGTCCTGGAGATGTCTTGAGCGCCAAAACCTTTGGCGGCTTCTGGGGCATCACGTTGCTGAGCTATGGGACGTTTGGGGTACTAAAGGCGGCCTATCAACAGGGGCCCGTAAAGGTATCCGCTGACTGTGACTGCAATGTCAAGCAGCATCTTGAGAACCATGGTTTGAGTTGTGAATGCGCTGCAGTGTGGTGTTGTACCTTCAATGCAGCAAAAGCGGGCGGGAAAATCTCGGAGACCTCAGCAATAGACTTTTGGCCGTAGGCTCTTGGCCACCTCCTCCCCAAGCCAATCGCCTCGAAAACCCGGAAAACTGAAACCCAAAGCAAAACCCTCAACCCCTAAACCCTTAAAACCCCTAAACCCCTAGACATGACGTGCCTCAAAGTCGGCGACGGCGCATGCAGCGGGTGAAAGAACTAAGGGGTCGAGCCGGCTGCTACGTGAGGCAAGAGCCTAGAAAGCCCCCCTAAATCCTTCCCCCTGACACCCGACGACCCTAACACCCTAATACCCCAGAGCCCTGACTAACGCCCTCACTGAATCCTAAACCCTAAACCCCAAACTCTCAACCCTGAAGGTTCAGGCGTAGAGGGCTTGCACCGAGTTCAGGATCCTTTGCGGGAAGTGAAACAACCCCTTGTAGTGTTTAGAGTGTTTAAAGCGTTTAGGGCTTTCAGGGTTGTAGGTGTGCTCCGAAAATAAAGACTACAGCATGCTGGGATACCATTTGCATCCCTAAACCCTAAACCCTGATCATCTGCTGTATCATGATTGAATCCCAATTCCCTTGTCGGTAGCTTGAGGGTCTCCGGGGGTCGGAGCTAGTGCTTGGGTTTAGGGTTTAGGATGGTTTAGGGTTTAGGGTTCAGGGGTCTAAGGTTCAGACTTGCGGTTCAAAGTCCACCGTAGCGTTCAAAGTCTACCGAAGCGCCTGGGATTTCAAGCTTTGAGGCCTCCGAAACGGTTGGCGCATTTCATCTGGGACGTCTACGTAGGTTCTGGCCATCTACGTATATTTGTACATATATATATATATGTATTCAGTGGCAAATATTCTGCCTATCTTCATATGTGCAAAGTCGAAGCCCTGAGCACCTCGGCATGTCTTTTGTTACTGCACCTGTGAGTCGTGCAGAAGGCCACGGCTGGAGAGCCCTTAGTTGAGCAATCTGACAGCTGCTACCGGACCCTGTGCCAAGCTCACATGGGTAGCTTTCTACATTAAGTTCCCGCTTCCATGTTATAATTGACAACTACAAATACCCTGGGGGGTTTGGGGTCTGGGTTGGGGGTTTAGGGTCTAGATTTTAGGGTTTAGGGTCTAGGGTTTAGAGGGACCCGAAAGAAGAAAGCTACCCACATCACATCACCGGCATCGCGCCGCTTGACAGCGAGCGCAGTGATGCGATAGGTATAGAGCTAACGAATTGGATGGACGAAGCGAGCACCCGAGCACCACTACATCTCTGTATGTTTTTAATTCTGACTCGGCACGTAGAGCACGGTCTTCATTCTGACTACGTATGCTCCTTGTACATCAGCATATCGAAAATATGATAACATTGAGTAGTTAATGTCCAGCTTCAGGACCTCAATTCGGCGAGTATTGCGCTGTGCCCCTGTCCTCGCACCAGTGCATGGAACACACTTTTTTCGCCGGCCAGGCGTTTCACCGACACCCTCGGAGAACCCTAAACAAACACCTGCCGGGCCCACTGTTCATGTGCTCTCAATTTGTGGCACGAGGATTCTGGCACCAAAGACCACCAGAGCCCCTCCTGGACATGGAGTCTTGAAATAGGGCATGTGATAGCAGTAAGGGTCTACTTTGTGGTCTACTTTGCTCAGATGAATGGGAACTGTCTGCAAGCCGAGCTGCACCATGATTTCGCAACAGCACAACCGGTGCCGAGATACATTCAAAAAACCTGAATTGCTACTCTTCGGCCCTCGAGCAAAAACCACATCTGCACACAAACGGCCCAGGCCGATATTGAAGTGACAGTCTGATAGCCTCAAATGCGATACCATACGCAACTCCCTAGGCCCCACAAACCCTAAACCCCTAAACCTAGGGCCCCGTGAGCCGAAGTCCACAACTCAGAACACCCAACTCTCAAGACATCATCCTCAAGGTCCAAGTGGCGCACCATCTAGGTTTAGGGTTTAGGGTTTAGGGTTTAGGGTTTAGGGTTTAGGGTTTAGGGTTTAGGGTTTAGGGTTTAGGGTTCAAGTCCTGGAAGGTTTCGATAATGAGTCTATTTTTTTTGGGGAGGGGGGGAGGGGGGGGGGACATCGGGGTACTCTTATTCTAGGAAGTGCCCCAGAAACATCCGCAACCCCACGCCTCACACCGCTGCGGCGGGTCCGACGTGCCCCCCCAACCCCCCCCCCCCCCAAACATCTGAAGCCGAAACCTTGGAACGATGTAGAAGCTGTTTGGGGCTAGGCGTTTATGTGTTAGAGCGTACAGCTGGAGTCTGTTTAATGACTCCGACCTGAACATCTCTCAATCTCAACCCACCCGACCTGTCACTGCGTGAGCTCATTGATGATCATCGTGACTCCTTCTGGTATGTCCTGCGTCATGCCCCCGCCCCTAGCCGTTTTCGACGATGGTGCTGGGGCAGTTGCAGGGGATCAGAAGGAGCATCCTAACTAACGGCGAAGGCAGCCCTGCGAGGAAGCCCCTAAACCCAAATCGCCTAAACCCTAAACCTCTCTTATTTCAGACTCCAAGCCTAAACCCTAAACAAGCCCTAAACCGTAACGACCCTCAGAAACCAGCAGTTCTAGTCCACATTTGGGATTCCGTGACACCGTCTTGTTAAATGGGAACCATTGAAGGAATCACCAGGTCAAGTTGCAGGGTGTATAGGGGAATGCCCATATCACGCTACAGGTAGTGGCTAGGAACCTCCTTAAAATTGAGATTTTCAGCCTGCGAAGTGATAGGAATCTCTCTAAAATAAGTATGGAAGTATGGGATTAAGCTCATTGCGGGAACACTGAATTCACCAGCACTGATCAACAAAAACTCTGTTCTGCCCCGTCGGTGAACAGCATCTCACATCCAACCTTCAAATCTGCTCCACAATCTCCGGTAAGTGGGCAGCAGAAACTCTCCGATGTGTGACTTGACAAAGATTTCGAAGATCATCCTGCATGCTGGCTTGTGCACCATGCATGAACCCTATGCAACATGAAGCCCAATGAGTTCCGTAACTTCGCAACTCAGATGTTCCATTGCTCTCATGCGCCATTTGAAAACTTCACACCTCCCTGATGACTCGGATTCGGTCTGGATCAAAGATGCAGGTCTCAGTGAGACCCGAACTCACCATCCCACAATTGGCCGGAACCCACGCAGAGTCATACCCATGGCTATGCCAAGAGGTGCGCATGGGATGACTCTGCGAATCGATCTTCTTTGTTTTTCCAAGCTTTGCCTCCACTTCCAAGACAGAATGCCCATAGCGTTTGGCCTTCTCGATGTCAGCAGAAACGTAGACTCCTTTACCAAGCATGCCATTCGACGATGGCTTGAAGCCGTTCTCGAGGATCGATTGAGCATTGGCTGCAGTTGTTCCGTGATACATCTTCATGGTTTTGCCACCTTGGCGATGCCAACCAGATGGCGTCCTGGAGGCATGCTGGACTTTGCGAGATTTGTCCACCTCTACTTTTCCACGACCATTACACTGACTGCACTTCTGTGACGTCGTCACGGTGCCATCCATGAGTGCTGCACCGGCCGCACCAATCACCATGCCGCCAGGACCAAGAGAAGCACCCAAAATCCCACCTGCGAAGGCCCGTACCACGATCGGGATGTTTGTGGGACTCGTGACCGCCCCTGTACCGTTGCAGTTCGGGCACTCGGTGGTAGGCACGTTGCCCATCCTTACGACAAACTCCTTGCGTAAGTGGAGGCTGCGATCTTGGGCCGACAACAGCTTGTGGAACCCAGGCATCATATCCGCGGCCATGCCACGACGTGCGCATGGAACGACCCGACGCTCCTCAAGGAGTCTTCAGATCCCAGGCCCTGGAGTTTCTTTGTAGGGTTCCCCTTCCAACTCAGGAGAACATGAGCTCTCCAAGTCCAGTGATAGAGAAGAGGCAACATTATTCATTATTCTTCTGGTTTCTTCAGCGTCCTTTCGATCCCGCACGCACTCGGCGATCGTGACGGCCGTGTCGACATCAATCTCCTGCACATGATGCTGAGGTTTCTGTCATGCGGTCCTTTGGGCGGATGGGGGATTCGAGGGGTGGGGGACTAGTGTGCTTGATTAGAGCTCATAAACTCCCCAAGAAACACACCCAAACCCACTGTAGCACAGCCAATGCCAATGACTCCAGTAGTCTTTCCCAACACTCGAAACCCTTCACTGAAAAGGCTGCAATCTGCTGTTTAGGTTAGCCTGAGAACTTTCTGCCATGCCTCCAGGAGTAGACTCAATGGGATTTAAGGGTGTGCGTGCTGTTCAGGCATAGATTTTGACTGGGTTTATTTAGGGATAAGGGATGAGAGCGGAATAGTGAGGGTAGGAGCCGTCGCGAAGGAACACAGTGCACAGAAGACCGACGGCCTCAGCACCTCAAACCCTAACCGCTCAAACCCCAAAATCCCGCAAAGCCCTGAACGATAAAGGACCACAGCTAAACGACAATGAACTCAAGAGCCTTGCGACCCTTCACGAACCTTGGCAATGTACAAGAGCAGGTGGAAGTCGGCAAAACGCGACCTGGCGCAGGGGTTTAGGGTTTACGGCACATAACGTAAGGGTTAGAGGCTCAGGGGTTGAGGGGGTTAGGGGCCGAAAGGGTGTACAGGGCTCTAAGACTTATGTCGTGTTAGGTAAGGTCTGGGGTTTGTCCCTGCCATCCCTCAAGCCCGTTAAACCTTACAACAACCTAGACCCTATTGGGCTCGGCCTGGCGCTTTAGCAAAAAGCGTTTGCTCTAAAGAGGGTTAGGGGGGGAGTCGCTAGCCTCTAGTGACCAAGGGGGATAAGGTCAGGCCCCCCAAAAGCCGCACGATATGTGAAACGAAGCGTTGCACTTGACACTCTGAACAAAAAAAACACCCCTCAACTGCTATAGCCGCATCGTCAAAGCCCATCCCTCCTGCTCAATACCAACAATAATAGTCAATGGCAATGGCAATGGCAATGACAATAGGAATAACCAGAACTGTAACGATAGGCTATAATAATGATAATACGGGTAGTACGTATTTCTACTACTCGCCTGACTATTTCTCACTTTTTATAGTGATCAAAGTATTGTTCTAACTATAGTAGTGGGTCAGCCGAGACGCCACGAAGGCTCAGACTTCGGGATCTTGCTGAAGAACTGGCAGATTTGCAAGGCTGAAGCGCTGTGGGTTTCGAGGTCTACCTAAACGGCTCAAGCACCTCTTTTTCTTCTTGGCCCTTGCCTTACATCACCCTCTCTCGGAGTACAGAAGGGTACATAGTTCCCCTATTCTCTACTGAGATTGAAATCTGTTAACGCGACCGCAGGCCGCATATTCCCTACTGAGAACAAGTGCGTTTTGGCGTTACTGCAACATACGATAATCACCAACGGCGACATCAGAGCTGTCAGGGGGAGGGGGAGGGGGGGGGCGGAAAGGGGGGGAGGAGGGGGCGGGGAAGGCGGAAGACAGACGGGTTTTGGGGGCACGGGGGGGGGGGGGGGGGGCGGGGGAGAAGGCCCCTCTTTTCACAACTTGCTTGGCCCAAAAACGGCAAGCGCTTAGGGATGTGGAGGTTTAGAACCCCTCCCATGGGTCAAGCCCTTAAATCGTGCTTAGAATCCCTGCGCTCGGCTTGTAATTTGGGCGGAAGCTTGAGAGGAGCCCTGGACACTGAGTTGAGCACCTCGGCTCGTAACAAAGCCACCTCTTGAACCCCGTAGCAACTATACCCTCTGAGTGCTTCTGCGCTTGGGTCCTTACCCTAAACACACGAAGCGTTTGAAACCAAGAGATCAAAGTGGCGAGGTGTTGGCTTACTATTCAAGCAAAGTGCTGGGTGCAAAGTGTTCCAAGTACAGAGCTCGAAGCACACCACATATCACCGCATGTTGTTCACTTGTGGTGGTGGTGCCTTACCGCGTCTCGATCTTGGCTGTCCGTTTATCTGAAGCCCTTCACCCCTACTGCCCTCCCCCACACCGAACCACATAGCCAGTCCCTAAACGATCGTCTCTCAGCGATAAAGCCATCTAACGGTCCAACAACAGTGCACTGCCCTTCATGCCCGTGGCAGATGCAGTCTCCCCACCCTAAACCTTATAAACCCTATAAACCCTAGACCCCGCCTTTTTCAGGTCTTCTCTCCTCTGCGGGTGCCTCAGCATCGCAGGTGCCACACATGACTTCTGACAAACCTACACATGGTGCCTAGTCCATGGTCCAAGATTCTCAGTACTAATTCACTTTGGGCTGTTTGGAGCCCCACGCCACTGGTGGCTCATTTGTCTACGAATTCACTGGAATGTACTACTATGTTGTTAACATATTCTTTATATATGTAACGTACATTGACATCGACTATATCGTGTAGGATTAGGTCAGAGCGCAAACATCATGCCCAGAGCCCTCGGGTCCCCCCCCCCCACCCACCCCGTGCGTTTTACGTTAAGGGTTTATAGGGTTCCTACACTGGGGATTTCTAGTGTTTTGGTAAGCATTTTAAGGTGCACCCTTATTTGGGGATATGACCGTTGGTGCAGCTGCAGCTTAGGATGATGAGGGTTTTGGGACAGCTTGAGTTCAGGGTGAATTAACGCAATCAACAACAGACATACTTTGTTTACTTCGGTGCGACTACACTAGAGGCCGAGAAATGTGGGAACACATGCCGGCAAGGTGCGTTGGACGATTTTCTCGCGGGAACTCCGCGTGCGTCAGCAGTCGCTGATGCTGCAGGGCAGAAGCTGTCGGTTTAAGTTAGGATTTGAGATGATTTGGGCCCCTGGGTGTTGGACAGAGGCCGTCAAGCGTTGTGCATTACGGGTGGCCGGGGCAAAGGAGCCGCACCTGAACTGGTGTGATGCAGACTTGCTTTTCTGTAGCAGCACACTAGCCGGGGCTGCCAGTCGAGAAGTATGCTGCCCTGATGTCTTAACCGTCTTAACCGCCTTTAACACTATAAGCCCTAAACCTGAAGCCCCGCCCCCAGTTGTAAGGAGGAGTTTGTAAAGGGCCCCAAGTTGCGTAGGTACTGCAAGTTCGCTTGAAAGTCTGTGACCCTAATATAAGTACAGGGGGATGAATCTCGGTGCGTCCAATCTGTTCATGCGTATGGGATCCTCACTTGCACAGCCTCAACCAACTCCCATCATCCTACAGAAGTCATAACTCTATGAATCTATGAACCTTCATGTTGGACCTGCTTTGGTGTTTCCCACCCCCGGCCCCTCGCCAGAATAGTCAAAGCTGGTTTTGGCTCTCTTTAAACGGACCACGGGCTTGTATGGTGTTAAAAGGGAAGAGCTTAGATGAGCTCAGAATGGACAGCGAGGCCCGGCAATTGACTTTAAAGGCGCGCCGCACAATATTGTCTTTCCACACCCGGACGATTTGACTTAAATGCGGATCCCACCGCGCACTCCCAAACAGGTCGGGTGTCCTGAAGAGCCCGTCCAGCTTGACTTTATAGAGGGTACCCCTATAAAACCACGTCCAGCATAAGGGCCTAAAAAATCCCTGAACCCCCTAAACCGTATGAACCCTATGCCCCCTGGAAGGCCTTCTTTGGAGCCGTATCGTTTACCCGCACAATGAAGAAGTCGGTGGCGATCTTCTTGCTAGATCTGCCTGGCTGGCCCATGCCGACCAGCTGCCCCGCCCACCCTGCTCTTGAAGCTTGACGTGTACTTGTGTAAGTATAGGGTAGATCAAAAGCCGCTTGCGAGATGCAGGATCGGCATGCCCCAATCAGATGTGGGCGAAAATTCTGTACTTACCGGATCCAGTCCGGATTCTGATGCCCTCGGTATGGAGTTTGGGGCTTCGGGCTGAGTTGCTTTAGCTAGTTGCTCTGAGCCATGAGCCCTGACAACCCAGCCCTAAGTACCCCTCAGCCCCAAATGCCATACACCTCTCAGCATCCCCATGCCATCCGGAAAGCCAACCTCGAAAGACACAAGTCATGAATAAGTTGCTAACGAAGTCCGGGAGCAGGTGCGCCTTCGCAAACAAAGTCCGGAATCATCTCGTCCTTTACGGCCTCGCAAGGTCGCTTGGCGGAAGTGTGAGGCTGGCACATGTCCAGGTCTTTGTGGCCCGTGTTTGTTGCATCGAGCTAAAGTTCAGACTCCTTGTAGCGTTGTTGAGAAGCCCTGCAACGTGCCACCGCCAGCATGCACATACAAATCATGACCGTCTTTACGGGAGTCTCGCCCCACTGGAATCCCCTAAACCGTAAACCCTATGCACATCTTAGCCGGCAAAGTTGCCTCACAGAGTGGGCTTCCACAAACACTCGAGGCCGTTTCTTAGGCACATGACCCCAAGTCCTTTCTTTTGGATAAGGAACTCCCGTAAGGCAAGGACACAAGATATATATATATATATACGTATATATATATATGTATATGTATGTAGGTGTATATATATATGTATGTATATATATATATATATATATCACATGCATATTCTAGGGTTGCTCGACGACCTACTATATGATCCTTTGTTGTTTAAATTTCGTTCCTCAACAAGAAGCCAGCCACAGGTTGCAAGGACTGTGGCGGCGGTTCCGTGAACTTCTACCTTTCGTGGGGAGGAGGGAGTCCTGAAAATTGTAGACACCTGTAATATGCGAAGATCTGCAGCGAGCCATGCCCCAACTTTTAGCAGGTTCGTGCTGGGGTAACCCAGGGGCCATGTCTAAAGACAAAAAGAACCCTCCCTCCTAAGCACCGGCCTCGCGTACCACACAGGCGCGGCGCTCGCTCGGCAAGGCTTCGAGTATCCCGTCGCGGAGCATGGCGCAAGCTTGCTCTGAGACCTTGGGCTGCGGGGCTTTCTAGGTTTTGTCGGATGCAGGGTTTCGGGCCCTTGGGGTTGAGAGCGTGGGAGTTCAGGCGCCTAGCCCTGGCAGCAGTGTCTTTGGATTTGGTGGGGTTTAAGCCCAGAAGGGCTTACGCTGAGGATTGAGCTTGTCGTCGTTTGAAGCGAGCAGAATCCTGAACCCTAGCCCTTGATAGTGTAGCCTTCTACCCTTCAGGAGGAGGGCGATGCACCCCAACCGTATAAACCCTAAACCCTAAACCCTAAACCCTAAACCCTAAACCTCCAACAATCCCAGCACGGTTCCAAGGGCACAGCCATGAACGGATTGATCCCGGGTGCGCCATTTTGCGCCGGGTCCGGCCCTGTGCAGGTTGACAGGGTCAAGGGCTCCATGAGATATTGGGAGGCTTAGGGTTGGCGGGGAAGCAGTTACAAGAATATCCACTAGGTGCTTCACGGAGCCGTTGGTTTAGGGTTTTGGGTTGAGGGTTTAGGGCGGACAAGTACCACACAGCTTCGGCTAGAATGCTCCAAGCCCCACCTGATACCCGCACGGAGGTACATGAACCGAAAACCCTTTGAGTCTTGGGTTATGACATGAAAGGTTCAGTTCTCCCACGATCTTTCGCGCGACCTTTCAGTTCTCTTCGCGGGCTGACGCGGGCTAGCGCGCAATTATGATCCACTCGCAAAAGAGCTCTCGCTCGCAGACTCTAGCTGACGCGCCTATCACAGCCGAGCTCCTTAATTTGCCTTGATCTCTGCTTGATAGGGGAGAGGGGGAAACAAAATGGATAATTCGAAAATTGGAGAGGGGGTTATGGCACCGCCCACATAAAGAATCAAGCCAAGCGCCTACCCCGAACCAAACTGAGCAAAGAGCCCTGAGCACAAAACCCTGTGCTTCAAACGCGGGGTTTAGGGCTTAGGGTTTAAGGTTGAGGGCATTACTTGAACTCCTGCAGTGAACTTCAGGGGTTTAGGGGCTGTTGGGCTTAGCTGAGCCGGTGGCGGACTGCACACGACACAAACTTGGACAACGCATACCTTGGCCACGCATCTATCTGACGGATAATGGGGTTCCCCCGGCTATACTACAGGGTTCAAGGATGGATCCTACACGTTGCACTACTCTTCGCCTAACTTAAGGCCCTTGCAGACTTGCTGCAAATAGGGGCCTTGTGCAGTTGGCCCTGCAACCCTACTACCAACATCTTGTTGGTAAGTAGAGGAGCATCATGGTGGAATCATCGTCCTCAATGCTCCATGGGTCTCACTAGATTGCGGGGACAAAACGAGCCAGAATCCCGTTGACGGGAACAGTCCTACACATGCTTCGGGCGCGAACCCAGCTCTCTAGTGAGCATTCCAAACAAGTTTGCCCAGCTAGCGCAACCCTTAGCCTAAACGCTAAGCCCGAAACCCTAGACCCTAAACCCTAAATCCGCATACGGCTCGCGATCCTTTCTGCTGCTAAAGCCACTCGAGCATCAGGCTTTCGAGCTTTCGGGGCTTGTGGGTGTACCCACACCGACCCTGGCAGTCTTCCATGCCACAAGGTCACACTATGCCAAGGCAAAAAAGTGTATGTAGAAATATATATATATATATATAGAAATATATATATATATATATAGAAATATGTTACAAAACATCCTGCATCCCGAAGCTTGAAGCACTCTGAGGCCCGGGGCTTTGTGAAGTGTTTGTCGGTCGAGTGATCATTCTGCAGCCTGCGCAAGGCTTAGGGTTTAGGGGTTTAGGGGTTTCGGGGTTTAGGGTTTAGGACCCTCGGCCCCTTTTCCTTCTCATTCGGTTTAGGGTTTTCATGATAAAACCGCCTTTGTCAGAGGGCTGAGCACTTTACGGCTTTAGGCGCTGAGGCTTGAGAGCTTTCGGGCTTTTAGGCTCAGGGCTTTTTAAGGTTTAAGGGGCAGGTCTCACGGTAACTTACGGAAGGCACATGGAAGATTCAGAAGTGAGTTGCAGGCTTGGGCTGGAGAGGATTTACAACGGGCGGTTTAGGGTTCAGCGGTTTAGCCCAACATCCGTCCCTTCTCAACCGCTTTTATCCACAACAAAATTCCAGGTCGTAGAAGAAATCTGAAGCCAAACCGTGAGTCACCAACAGAAGATGCGGAAGGCTCAGAAGGCCCTAGTACCTTCTGGAAACGACCTACATGATTAAATTTCCTATGGTTTCCTTGTATGTTCCCTTTAAAAGGCAGGCTTTGTGGGGTGCAGGATGCTGAAGGTAAACCTGTACCTAAAAGCCCAAGAACCCTGAGCCATGGGGAAGCCGCCTGGCGATTCGGACCACTTCGTCCGGGGAGAGGAGTAGTCCATCGTCCTTCGGAGAGCATATTGCTCAGGGTGCCCATAGGAACAAACGGGCTTGGTCAGGGCTTTCCAGGGCTTCTGATTCCGCGGCACTTGAAAATCCTGTTGGGGGCGCTTTAGGGTTTAGGGTTTAGGGGAAGAGGTTTGACCATTCACATAAAGATAAAGAAGAAGCACGCGGAGATCATGACGTTTTCTGCCTTGGGCATGCTAGGCTTGCCTGGACGATCCTGGAAGGTTTAGGGATTAGGGTTGAGGGTTCATCGAGAGAGCCGTATGCTTCATCAAGACTTGATGGACATGTTTGTCTACGTGCAACAGCGCACACCGCTTAGCCGCTTGGAGCTTCAGCATGATCCTAGAGGCGACGCGTGTACCTACAGTTCCCCTCCTCGGAAACTTTGGGTAGCAAGTTGTGTATGTACTTGTTTTCAAACGTCATCCCACCACCTGCCCCTCCAAAACACATACGCTGGGACCTTCCCGGTCCACGATCGACCCGGAACCCCATACACCGAATAAGCCACGCCCACAACCCTATGACAAAACTTGAACATCTCTGAGTCCGACGCCAAAGGGAGTGAGGTGAAAACCCAGCCGATGCACTCGATGCCGAGCGCCTCGGCTATCCTTGCGGTTGGAGCATTTGGAGTGATTCTTGAGATGCCGGGTTGGGAATTGAGGGTGAAGAGGGTTGAGAGGGCTTTCGGGAGAGGGGATTAGGGGGTGTGGGGTTCAAGTTTGTAATTGAGCAGTGTGCGAAGGGGATTGTTAGGGGTTTAGGGATGTTGGGGGTGCTCCGAGGTAAGGATCTTTTCGTTGAGTACATCGAATATAGACACTGCCTCAAAAAAAGGTGCCGGGGGGGGGGGAGGGGAGTGAGTGTTCGGGGCATCAAGGGCCACAGCTCTGCGCAACGTCTCCCCGAGACCCCCTCCTGCGTATACATATAGAGTATATAGATATATAGATCTTAGTTGCTGAGTTCATAAGCCTCAAAAAAGTGTACACTTTCAGTTCTACAGGAGATTACAGTATCCCAAAGAGTGTGAAGTGTGCCCACTGAGCTACTGAGAGGTACATATAATACATAGCCAACACAAACTATCCAGCCAAATTCAACACGTATAACATCACGGATACTGTGCAAATATCTTCCTATTCGAGAGCATTTGGTTGCGTACACCTAAACTGAGGGTAGGTTTGGGGGCCCTGTAAAAACAAGACTAATACCTGTATAAGGATTATAAAGGGTATTAAGGGTATAAGGATTATACAGGGGATTAAGGGGAATCAACACCCTAAACCCTAAACCCTAAACCCAACACCCAAAACCCTAAACCCTTAACCAAGATAATGTTCAAACCTACCCTTCCTGCAAGGCCGAAGCAGGCCCCTCCTGTTGACTCTCGCCATCTCCTGGTCGTCCAACATCGGGTCCGCGACCTCCCCCGCCATCCTTAAGACGGGTCTGCGGATAAAGGGCCTAAGGGCTTTTTTTTAAGGGGCTTTTCAAGGGGCTTTCAAGGGGGCCTTCTAGGGTCTTCAGGAACTTTGATTTTTTTTTTGGGGGGGGGGGGTTTTGACGCCTTAAAGGTTGTAAGGGTTTAGGCGTCGGTTTTGGCGTCCTGGAAAAACCTGAAAACCTCTGAGATCGCTCATTTGTGTGATTTTTTGGGAGGGCCCCTGTCTTAACATGGTGGGTTTACAGTTCAGGGCCTGCTACCCCATATGAAGGGACCCCCGTAATTGAGAGAACTTACCAGATCTCAAGGCTATGGGGCTCTTGGGCCATAGAGTATGAAAGGGTTTGTCCCAAAGCTTTCCCGCGCAACTGATTCCTCGAATTGCCCAGATCCGCAGCATAAGATACCGAGCTCATCCGAACCAAGCAGTTTCCAGAAGCACACGAAAAGCCATCGACTGGCGGGATGGGACGCGGGTGGCCCTAGTTTTCTTTCCTGGTGTGTTCGAACCGACTCCCCACCTCCACATTCCTGCAGGAAGAAAGGCCCCAATGAGCTGCATCACCCTAAGACGAAGAGGAACCTTCATCTGCGACGCCCACTTGGTCCACAAGCCTCCTCAGTCAACACCACACACCTCCATCCAAAACCCTTGTCAACCCCCAACCAGTAGACTAAGCCCAAAGACTCTTGTTGCGGTTCGTAGATGGCCTCCACTTGCAGGGCGGATCCAAGAATGATGGAGCTGCGACTTAGGATTGAAACCCTGCCGTTGCTTCAGGGCTTTGGGTGTGTAGGGGCTAAAACGTCTTGAAGACTCAATGTTTGCATACCCTAAAAAGTCAGGACAAGTCAAGGTCTTTCACCCGCACATGCAGCCACATCAAAGCCACCCAAGTCCAACTTGGCAGGTACCATTGCACTTGGCATTGCTCCTCTTCCGCTGTTCTTCAGGGTTTCGGGCCTAAGGCTTCGGGGCAACTTCTAAGATTCTATCAGCGCCTAGTACAGTGGTGGCGGTGGAACAAGATTTCGTAGGTTACATTACAGCTAGCTCCAGGCCAAGGATGAGGCTTTCGGAGGCAAGCTGCAAGGTCTTCTCATGCGAGGTGCCGCTTGTGGTAACCCAAAAATGTTTTTTCTCGTCTGCCCTTCCCAATTTGCGGAGCCCCATACTGGATTCAACTCTCTTCCCTGAACAGCCCAAGTAGCTCTAGATCCCTAAACCCTACAAACCCTAAATAAACCCGATGCAATTTCCGGAACCCCTATCTTGGGAGTCCAAGTCACCTGGGGACGCTGGACATCGGCCTTTTCTGAGCAGCAGAATCTCCACAGGAAGTCCTTCCCGCGTGGACTCTCCAACTTCGAGAGCGTTTTGCCAAGCTTGCCATGAAGGGCGGCTTGGAGACATGGCATCTTTGGCCAACTCATTGCTCAGCTTCCCGGTGTCTGCGGAACTCGTCCTCCTCGCTGCAATTCCACAGCATGCAGCCTTCCAACAGCGACTCGGGAAAGAACCTTGATTGACAAACACGCCCGAAGTCGTCCTGATCTGGATCTTCCTCCCTCTCCTCGACACCAAAGTCGATGACCTCCTCGATCACCCACATCGGCTTCGCAACATTCGCAACAGGTGCGGGTATCACCGGCTCTCGAGGCGCACTGTGCAAAGACGTGGTGGACGAGCCTGGGGAGGATCGCATGGTCCTTCCAAACAGCGGTACCGGATGCGCCTTTTGCGGATGCCCTGCATCCAGCGGCGGAACAAGGACCTGCTCCGCCTGCGGCACTTGCGGCGCGATGAGCGGCTGGGCGATCTGGACGGGAAGCTGAATTTGGGGTGCGGGATGCGGCGGCTGAAATGCCTGGGGAGCCTGTAAGACCTGGCCCTGTCCGAGCACTGAACCCGCAGTGCGCGGAGGAGCCCTGGCACCCGGCCCGCTGTCCGAGGAGACCAGGCTCGTGAGGCTGTAGGAGGCCCCAAGGGGTGCGCTCGCGCTCGGCACGCCCAGCGTGCTCGGCGCACTGTGCAGGCTGCCGCGGCTTGCCCGGTCCCCACGAACAGTCGGCCTCAGCATCGGCGGAGACCCAAAGCCTGGAGAGGAGAAGCCGGCGCTGCCGGCAAAGGCCGGGGATGCATAGCCAGAAGGCGGCCGCACAAATGTCATGGCGCGAGTGCCCGTTTGAGTCCGTCCAGTCTAAGACTAAAGACACAGGTAGTCCTAAGCCCGGTCCTCTGAGAATTAGGTGGGCATTCTTCGGATGTTAACTGTTGCTGCTGCTACTGCTGCAAGGCAATGAGCTTGCTTGTCACACCCTCTCATGGCATCGATCGAGTCGGCAGCACATACATGTGGCAGAGCATATTTACTTGCATCCCCTGTGTCAAGAGCGAGGCCATGCAACCGAGAGATTGTGCCCTTTTAAACACTTAACCGCTCAGCAGATGTGATCTTCAGTGTTTCTCCACTACAGTCTGAGTCCTAGTCTTAGCAGCTATAGCTGGCATCAACTCACCTGAGTCGGAGAAGAGAGAGCGGGAGAGAGAGAGGGAGAGAGAGAGAGAGAAAGAGAGATAGAGAGAGACTGCCGCATCAAACTCATCTGACCATGACAGGCCTCCATGATCGCGCGAGTGCCCTCGTCGTAATTCTTGTCCTAAGACTTCCGCACATCAGGCGCAGCTTCGTGTTCAGATCTCGAGGCGGGCATGTTGGCGCCTATGCTAGAACTCCCTTCCCTTCTGAGCTTGTCGTTTTTCGTTCTCCTCTATGGTCTTACAGGGTTGGGGATCCAAAGATTAAACGCTGTTCGGCTCGGAACTTTCTTTTTTTTGTTTTTGCTTTTAGACGTTTTTGTCCTTCTTTCCTTTTTTTGGAAACAAGGGGGGGGGGGGGGGGGGGTGGGAGGGTGGGGTGAGGGCATACTGAATCGTCCGTATGGATTCTCCTTCAGTTCTGAAGCCTGGTGTTGCCCTTTCCCCCGTGTTAGACCGAGGAAGCCCGAAGCCATCAACAGTTCACACGACATCCTCAGCCGCAGAGTCCTCCAGGTAGTAGCCGTACATGAAGCCTGCACGCTGCATTGCGTTCTCCAGGAGAACACCCTGCCTCGGCGCCGCCCGAAATTTCTTCAGCTTGTCGGTATGTGGGGTGTAGGTCTGCCTTTTTTGGAGTTTGGGGGCTTGTGTCTACTTACTTAGATCTTTGCATTGGAGGGTTGGCCATCTTGGACGCAGATTCTGAGATGCGTGCATCCCACCCATGTAGATTCCGGAGTAGACGCTGGAAACCACCGTCGACATTCAACGTACTCAGCGTTGTACGCAAGAGGGCTGCATGTTCTGCGGGCTGTGTCCCTGCCACTGAGCTCCAAATCCCACATCCGAACCCCACTACAAAACCTGAATAGTATATCTAATATCCACAATATACTTCTGTAGTAAATACATATATGTACATTGTTGCACATAGTCCGAAGCCGAAGCCTGGAATCAGTTTCTGTTCGCAAATACTCGTCGCGCCTGTCCCGCCGAGCTAAGTGTAGCGAGTCGAGCCGAACGTCTGTACAATCGGCCGAGAGCGTGATTCAAGCTTCGAAGGGCCCCAGCGCATCAGATTCACTGCCTTGTAGAACTGGTCTATACTGCAACTCAGGAGGCTTTGATGTAGGGGCGCGTGTGGCACCCGATTGATGGACGCGTTTGGGCCCCACAAAACAATGAGAGCACAACTTCGCTCCATGAAGGGGACCTCATGCTACAAAAACTTCAAAGAAGTTGACGTCGATGTCTGAGTTGGGTTTAGTATAGCACAAGCAGGTGTGACCAGCGAAGTTGTTGGCACTTACTTGAAAAGCAGAAGACGAATTAGCGCAAGCGCAACACTAGGTGAAGAGTCGACTCTTTTTGGATGTTGTAGTCTGACAGCGTGCGGCCGTCTTCTAGCTGCTTGCCTGCGAAGATCAGGCGCTGCTGATCCGGTGGGATACCCTCCTTATCTTGGATCTTCGCTTTCACGTTATCAATCGTGTCCGAGGCCTCAACATCCAAGGTGATGGTCTTGCCGGTCAGCGTCTTCACGAAGATCTGCATGCCACCGCGGAGGCGCAGCACCAGGTGAAGAGTCGACTCCTTTTGGATGTTGTAGTCTGACAGCGTGCGGCCGTCTTCTAGCTGCTTGCCTGCGAAGATCAGGCGCTGCTGATCCGGTGGGATACCCTCCTTATCTTGGATCTTCGCCTTCACGTTGTCAATCGTGTCCGAGGCCTCAACATCCAAGGTGATGGTCTTGCCGGTCAGCGTCTTCACGAAGATCTGCATGCCACCGCGGAGGCGCAGTACCAGGTGAAGAGTCGACTCCTTTTGGATGTTGTAGTCTGACAGCGTGCGGCCGTCTTCTAACTGCTTGCCTGCGAAAATCAGGCGCTGCTGATCCGGTGGGATACCCTCCTTATCTTGGATCTTCGCCTTCACGTTGTCAATCGTGTCCGAGGCCTCAACATCCAAGGTGATGGTCTTGCCGGTCAGCGTCTTCACGAAGATCTGCATGCCACCGCGGAGGCGCAGCACCAGGTGAAGAGTCGACTCTTTTTGGATGTTGTAGTCTGACAGCGTGCGGCCGTCTTCTAACTGCTTGCCTGCGAAGATCAGACGCTGCTGATCCGGTGGGATACCCTCCTTATCTTGGATCTTCGCCTTCACGTTGTCAATCGTGTCCGAGGCCTCAACATCCAAGGTGATGGTCTTGCCGGTCAGCGTCTTCACGAAGATCTGCATTGCTACTGCAAGCTGCGAATTGACGATACAGGCTTGGTTGCTTTGGGTATGTCGTGGTCTCACTTGAGCCAATGCTGCACTGCCGCTCCTCGAAGCAAACCGAAAGCCAAACAATGTGAGGTCAGTGTGCCACAAATCTTCGCTCGGACTCCGGCCAATACCCTATGAAGCTCTCCATCTCCGGGACGTTAATCACAGACAGTGTGTCAACGTGCCTGTACCTGGAGGATGCCGGATGTTGTCGGTAGGATTCAGGAAGTCATTTCTCTAGGACTCTAGGACTGCAGGTTCGGGCTCAGGTGGAACCCTAAACTTAAAGAAACAAAAACAAAATTCTTCCCACGCAACTGCAGGAAACCAGGAAGTTTCCCCCTGCCGGTGTCAACTGCTGCGAAGTCTGGGGCTTTCAGGGTTTAGGGCTCAGTGTCCAGTTTGGGGGGTTTCAGCCGTAACCCAGGCAAGGTCGTTGCGGGGAGGGCCCCACATGAACCACTGACAGGAGCTTACGGTTTGAGGTGGTTGAGCTTACATAGCCGCTGGCGTGCCTATGGGCTTAGGGCTAAAAACTTCGTGTTGCGTGGACCTGCTTTGAGCTCCACTGAGCCAAGATCTGCCTTCCAAGTTCCTTCGGGTTTATATGGGGCTCCCTATATAAACCCTAGACCCCCCTTGGCCCTTGGCTCCCCCCGGGCTTTTCTCTCACAGTTTCAGCACAGCGCTGCCCCCAGCGTCGCCACGGCCGCTCGGGAAGCCTGGCTGCTCGGCTTAGGGTTTAAAATGAATTTATCATAAGTTTATAGTAAGTTTATAATGGGTTTACAATAAGTTTAGGCTATAATAAGTTTATAACAAGTTTAAGGGTTCAGGGTTGAAAGTTTCTAGGGTTTAGGGTGTATGGTTGAGAGTTTGGGGTTTAGGGTTTGATCTCATTGCACTTGGAGTTTAGCCAAAACCCGACAGTCTATAACAGGCACACCCGTATGCAGAAATGCTGCAGAGGCGAACGTAATATGGTTTGACCTAACCCTCGAAGCCTCAGGGCTTCAGTTGAAAGGCTCGGGTGTGTCTTTGCCAAGAGGGCAGGGGCATTATGGGCGTTGGCCTTGGGTTGCCCCCCAGAAGGTAGTTGCTGTCAGGTGTGACAACTCTGAAGATCAGCAGGCACCCTGCTTGATCAATACTCATTAATGTTAACCCCCCCCAAACTCTAAAACGACACCATACCAAAGCTCTGCCGCTGTTCCTGCCAAGCTACGTTCGCTCTTCCAGCACGAGTGTTCACACCCTGATACCGAATTACAGACTGCAACGTCACCTCTACCTGGAGCCTTCAAATGACGTGAACAAACAGCCTTTCCATGAAAACAGCCTTTTTCAAGACATGGACCCAAAAACAGCCCGCAAGGCGGAATTTGGCTAGGCAGCCGACAAAAAGGCTACTTTGAAATTTGTGACGGTGTTCAACTCGAGGACCTTCCATTTCTACGTTTTCTGCGGATTCTTGCTTGCTGAAGCAACGGAAGCCTGAAGCCACAAGCAGGAACCCTGAATTTGCAAACTCAAACAACACGCAAACCTGAAGCCAAGCCATGAAAGCCTGAAGGAAAAGGCGGAAATGGCCGGAAAAAAGGCGGAATTTGCCGGAAAAAGGCGGAATTTGCCGGAGTTCATTTCTTGTCTCGCTGAAACAGTTGAGAACCCTGACCTGTGGCTCACATTGTCACGACATCAGAAGCAAACCTCTGGTCGACACGCGCTACGCAGAAGGAACCCTGGAGCATTTTGTTGCTTTGCATTTGGGTGCGCGCGCCCTCAAAAGGAAAAAGGCTGTTTTTGTTTGTCATGGCTGTTTTGTTCAAAAACGCTTGTTTTGGAGCATCTTGGCTGTTTTTGGTGCAAGTTTGGCTTGTGGCCATTTTTTCGCGTACACAGAAGGTCCAGGTAAAGCCTAAATTCCCCTTTGCCCGTTCGGAAAGGTTCCTGCACATGGCCAGTTCTCTACGTTATGGTCCCTGGGGGCGCACAGTCAATATAAGAGCCCGCCCTATAATACACCCCAGAGGAATGACAACATACTGTAAAATAGGACAGGCACGCTCTTTTAAGCTTGTGCGGTCACAAAAGTTGGGGCGGAGGGAGCGGGGGGCCAGGGGGGAAGGTGCCCCTGCGCCCACACTAAGAAAGCCCGAAATCCCTGCCAGGGGCCTAAAGCCCTACTCACTAGTAACGGCGAGGTGGCAACAAAAACTTTAAAAACTCCTGACTCCTAACTAAGGTTGAGTTCGGCAGGCCCACATGGCTCAAGCCCTACAGTCCCTCAAAGGAAACACCCCGACAAGACGAGGCAAGAGTGTGCCTGGCAGAGATCCTTGAGTTTTGGGCAACCCTAAA